GGCTGAACTGCCCAATAGTCCCAAGTCATCTTTTCAAATGTAAGTAATGGTTATATTTACTTTGGGTTCTAGAGTCTGGAGGAAGAATGGAAGGTCAGAATCCATTCTGCTGGAAACCATGATGTTTCCACATGCCGGCTGCCATGCCATCTGATGGTTCAATGACCACAGCATTCGTGTAGTGAGTAAACGAGCCTGACCTCGACCTCTTCCAGATCTTTCAATATTGTCAAGCCCCTTGACGATTTAGCCAGCGCATGCCTGATGTACGAAAAATCAGGCAAAAACGCTGGCATACGTTGAATAAGTTATGGGTCAGTTTTGTTTAAGTTATGAGCACACAGGCACACGTCGACATACAGCAAGTACGACGAGAAATTTTGAGCATGCTCAAAATTTTGAGCATGCTCAAAATTTCTCAACGTATTTGCCGTATGCCAGTGTATGCTCATACGTGGGTCATAGCTAATTGTAAGTTACCCATAAGTCATGGTTTCTAGCTTATCCAAAACCTAGGAGTAACTTGTGCATAACTTATGGGTAACTGTCTGTACCCTCCAGACTTGACCCCCATCATAGGTTGAATGAGATATGAGTGTGATGGATCCTCCCTGCGTTCACGCCCACGGCAAACAAACTTCCTAGGAGACATGACCCTGAATCTTTCTTTCCTCCTTTCCTTCCTCCCTTTCAACAGGTGGTAAACAGCAGCTAGGTTAATACTGCGATTATAGAAATGTTTTCATGTAGGCCGGATGCCTCCAGGCGTTGCTGGGAGTTCTGGACTTGTTATGAATACTCTACTTATACCCCCCAAATTGAAAAAATGCATAGAAAGTTCAGTGCATGCCAGCATTTTAGAAGATTATGGGACATAGGGCATACACCTTGGCTAAATAGTTAAGGTGTGACGAGGCTTAAGGACAAAAAACAAAACAAAAGAAACCCTAGAGCCATGAAGACCACTATCAAAGCAACCTGGACTTCCATCACGCCTCACCAGAGGGACAAGCTGATCAAGTTAATGTCACACTAATTAAGACAGGAAGTCCAGGAAAAGTATTGAGTACATAGAATGGGCATACTTTTCAGAAGGCTGACATCTGTTTAGAGTATTCAGATGACAGTATCTTATTTTATCTGAGCAATCCATCAAAATACTTCAAAATAGCCGAGTCCCGATGCAACTTTTTAATTTCCAATGCAATACCAACCTTGCAGCTTTGAGAATTGGCTAATACAGATACTGACCTGATATATTGGCACCAATTCTACCAGCTAGTTATTTTACAGTGTAGAACACTAGAAAAGAATTGATTGAGTAATATTACAAAAACGGGGAACACGAGTCAACAACAAAAAAGTAAGAAAACAACTGAGTCATGTAAAATTAACCAATGAGTTACAGAAGCCTTTAGCATTTCCATTAACATGAAAATATCAGAGATTTTAGAAGCTGCAGATAAAATCCAATATCAGTATTTTGGCTAATACCATGCTTGTAATCCAATATTAATATTGGATCGGGACATCCCTTCTTCAAAATCACTTCATTTACTATAATATTTAGTAAACACAGATTTTTTTCCAGTTAGTTATTCTATGTTCTGACCTCAAAGTGGATTTCAGAGACATCAAATGAGAACTGATGACTGTAGCTAACTGGCTATCCATGCATAACATCTTAGTAGAAAGAGGTTACTTAAGTTTGTTTAATGGCTTTATAACCCCTCCCAAGTAACTAGCACCTGCAGTTAGTAAAACTGAGAACTAAGGTAATTTCAGAGGTTTTTCCCCAAACTGGCAATAGAATTAACACCTGATTATTTCTTTATAATGCAGAGGGAACGCAGCATTATGAGGCATCGTACACACTCAGGACACCAGGTGTTTAAGCTGAGGTCTCACACTAATGGAGTTAGGGACAGTTTTTTTTGTTTTGTTTTTTTAAAAGAGTATTTAGCCATGTGAAACACACAAAAGCAAACATATTTTTTTATTTCATTAGTTGTTTTTTTTAACCTGTAGATAGTTTTTGCTACAGGATTTCTCTCTCTACTTTTTAGGTCAGTGTGCCAACTCTATTGTAATACTTCATACTAGGTCTGGGCAGAATCTGTATTTGCAATACAATCTTAATTTAACTCAACGAGTCAAAGAGCAGAGGACTTCAGTTTTTGTCGCATTACATTTAACGTTCAATAAGGTTTCCCACCAGACAATGGAAGACAGCGTTGTAGCTAGCATGTAGATCTATGCTTAACAGTAGAAGGTAGCATTTTCACAAAAAAGTAACAGCAAAGTCCTTCCACAACAGCTTCTGAATAAGTAAGGAATCAAGATCATGAAAACAATGAAACTCTGGAGTGAAACATCGAAATGCAGATGTTTAGTGCAGTGGGAAATCAAACTAAAATTGTAATTAAAATATTGGTTAAACAAAAAAATCTCAATTTAGATTTTTGGCAGTATTTTTCAGCCCTACTCCACACTTTTGTTGGTACAATGACCTTAAAGACGTGTCTTATCTTATCTTATATTGATAAGTAACTCAAAACTGCATAGTCAAAGCTGTGTGACAATTTAGCAGCATGGATTGAGATTATCCTTTTAGTTAGACCTCTGACTCAAAGCTCTGCTGCAGCCTAAACACATTTATCCTGGTTTCTCTTCAGGATTTTTACCAAGGATCGTTCTTCAGTGGGCTGATACCCACCTGTGTCACAGCCACTGTCTTCTTCATTCATACAATATCCACCTTTGTATTTAAATGCATAGTTGCTGTGTTTATGTATGCATTTTCCCGCTTTCAGCTGGAATTTCTTTTCAAGCAGCTTCTCAGTGCCGTGAAGTGAGAATGTAAATTTATTTCATACTGACAGGTTCTTAAAATGGCAGCAACCAGCTTAATCTATTTGTGTAAAGAAAACAACAAAAACAAAAAACAGAAGGGCCTAAAATTGAAACTTCCTCTTCTCTTTGGTTGCCTTTGTGGCGTTCTGTCTGCAAGATTATGGTCATGGCAGCTGAGAAAAAGAACAATCTCACTGAGGAACCATGTAACAAGATGAGGATGTATCACTTTGCACTTTAGTTTTTGAATTAGAAAAAAAAGTGACTAAATATAAGCTTTTGCACAAAATTTAGATCTATGAATAAACTAAAACTAGTGGTCTCAGAGCACGTTGTACCAATTCAGACAAATTACATTAAAGGTCAGAATCCATGCAATTTCAGAGAAACAGTTCATTTCCCCTTACAGTTGTTCTAACCTACACTTAAAAATAGACAAGGATGCATCTAACTAAAGAAACTTCAAATGGTTGCAGCATCTATTATACACTGATTCTTTATAAATCAAAAATGCAATTGACTTGCACTTTTTTAATAAAAAAAAAATACACTAATGAGTAAATGGTTGACGCCACACTAAATAGTGGCTCTAACAATGTATACATTACAAAAAAATAAGCTTCTAAATCAATCAGACTGGAGAAAAAGAGTTAATCCACAGCTTTTGTCCCTCTATAGTATAAATGTGATGCGACACAGTCAGCTTTTTCTTTTTGGAACTCCGCGAGAGAAGATCCCAGCGAGAAGATCACAGCAATTAATTTTGTCAAAATGAAAAGTCTCCAAAGCTTACACAACTAAAGCACAAAACCGGATCTCAAAATCAGATAGTCTTCATCACAACAAGGCCAGCTAATTTGCAATATTTGTTGATTGGTTCAACAATAACATTAACATTTTAATCATACCAGGTTATGCAAACCATTGTGGAAAACATGGAAAAGCTGCTAAAATCTAACAGCCCAAACTTTGTAAGAAAGGATATTGCCGAGCCGTCCTACAGTAATGTAACACAGCGCCATGATGATAACTTTCTCCCTGAAACCTTTTATCCACATCTTTACCACAGATGCAAACAAATGTGGCATCATAGAAACCTATATAAATTATATCATCAAAAAACCCTCCTTAAAGGGCTTGAATGATAGCAAAAGGTCAACTTAAAAGTAACCCTTCACACTACCTACCTGGATTATTGAGATAGATGAGGACATCTCCAGGATGTCATTAGCTAAGACCACCTAGTCATCTTCATTTGTTCCTTAACTCTTTTTGATGCATGCCCTTAAAATCTAGAACTATATTTACCGACAGTCGACAAGAAACAGTTAGGTTTCTTCAAGCTAATCATATAACTGAATCAACCGTTTTTTTTTTTTTTCCCCCAACTTATCTCTTGTGAAACAAGTTACTGTATTTCTTTTTTTAACAAGCTTTAACAGTATGCGTTTTCTGACGGCAAATCTCACGGTACCACAGAGATCGATACGGTAGAACATGTCTGTAGTTCTGCCGCAATCGACACAGATGTGTGTATATATATATATATATATATATATATACATACATACATACATACATACACACACACACACACACAGCACCAACTTGAATTAAAATAAGCAGCTATATGAATTGCATGTTCTTGCTTTAAAACTACTTCTGCTATGTGTGGTTCTGTCTGCCTATTACAACACTTCAACTTTTTTTGGCTTTTAAGAGAAAAACCTCTACTTTTCAGCGTAAGAAGCTGGTTTTTGTGCTTCCTTTCAATCTGTATAGCATTGAAAGAGCTAACAACTGGATCTGCTAAATATCATTGTGAAGAGATGGTGAAGATAGGGAGGTTCAAAAACAATGTGATAGGCAGCTGTAGAATGAGCGCCCTTCTAACCACACATCTTCACATGCTCAAACCACAACATCTATCTTCACTTGTTTTGACACATCTTGAACTACACCTACCCTGGGGGTGTAGCTATGGCTGCCATCGTTTTGTGAAATGACTGAATTAAGCCTGGACCACACCAACGTCAAATGCACGAATTTCAGGTGGGTTGAATAAAACGAATAAATAAATACTGCTGCTATGGCAGAATATGATAAAGAAACTCATATAAAAGCTCATTTTGGACCATTTTGCTGACCTGGGTTGTGAATTCTCATCATACATGCGCTCCTTCCCCTCCTTAAACAAGCTGATGGTCTGCTTTGTCTTCTTGGTCAGGTTCTCCATGAAGACCCGGAAGTATTCGTTGTCTCCCAAAGTCTCCATTTTGCCCTCGTAGCGAGAAAGGATGGTACGCAGGTGCTGGTACGTGTCTGGCAGCAGGTCGAGGATGTATGGGGGGCTGTTCTTCAGAGCCAGTTTGGGGTTTTGGCAAAGCCGCACCACCTGCAGAAACAGGAGGATGTGAGGGGGAGAAAGACACGGTTAGTAGATTAGAAACATGTATGTGGTGGTAATGTGAAAAAGGCAGACAGAAAAAAAGTTTCATAAAAAGCTAGTGAAGAAAAAAAATATGTAGAAAGACGAATCAACCGGTCTGAACACTTAAAATGCAGAGTTTATAAATAGTTGAAATCACATTTTCAATGGTATGGCTCCCTGCTACATTGAAACAGACCAAACAAGACCAAACAATACACATACAGTACAGAACATGCTAAAAGATTCCAGTCCTTAAAAGCTAGTAGATCTAAAAGAAGTGGATTATGCATTATAACACATTTAATATTAATCCTTCACTTTATGGCATTATCCACTCTACCAGAAGTGTTTCACTTTCTCCATAAGATTCCTGAATCATCCATTACAGTATCCTGCCAAATACTGAAAACCATTATTGACAGAACAAGAGAAGACATACGATGCAGGTCAGCTGAAGGTCCTCTGGTTAAGTTAGAACAGAAATGTATGTTTTGGTTCCATCTTTATTACTTGTTATAGTAAGATTTGACTAGAATAATGCCCGGCTCAGGCCCATTACACTGAACACACGTCCACAGTCACAAAAAATGGCTGCAGTGAACTAATTTTCTCTATCAGACACAGAGAAACTTCTCAAAATTAATGGGAAGTTAAATGAAATGAAATACATGGTTGAAATCAGACAATCTAATCTGAGCTTATGATGTTTACCTAGAAGAGTGGATGTGCAAGGCTTGTTGTAAATTAAAAACAAAAATGCAATTCTACAAAAGGCTTCATCACAAGGCCTGCGAATAAATACAGTAAGCCACACTTTTCAGATAATTTTTGTTGAAACCATACACAATTTCTCTTCCATTTCAAAGTTGATGATTACTCCTACTAAATGAAATCCCAACAAAATGCATTGAAGATCGTGGTTTGCAACATGTGACATGGTGGCAAGTTGGGAGAGGCTGTTGATGTGTTTACACTTCCCCATTTTAATCAGTGCATCCTCTAACCCTTCTACCTCAAAAAAAAAAAAAAACTACATTAAGCACCATTTCCTTTACTTAACATTTGAATATGATTATCATGCAAATCTGAAGGGCTCAAGCGAGGCTGTTGGGGGAGAGAATGTAATCATGTGCTCCAAGTTCACACAGACCTCCAACAAAAAAATTGTAACTGTACAAAACTGAACTTCTGGTATTTGGTTTTAATAACTTATTCATTTGAATTTCAAAACATCTGTGGTCACAAGCAGATGGAACCAAGTTGAGAGGACTGAAACACATCCGATCGACAGTAATGTTCAATCTGTCCTTATCCACATCAGTTTAACTCCTGCTCTGTTACTGAGTCACTGCAGTGAGTGTTATTAAATTAAAAAAACCTGGCGTAAAACCTGGAAGACTTTCATGAAGCGTGCTAAAATACACAACTATCACTGACATGTGCGCTGTAAACATATGTCCTTTAAGCAAAGGAAAGCCCCAAAAATACATTAATCAAAAATAGATTCTTATTTACAGATCTAAACTTGGGCCTTCAGAGAGCTCGACTATCAGCCTTCAGCAGCGACTCTAACAATCGTGGCAGGAACAGGAAATGGTTCATTTTTGGAAAAATCAGGCCAGATCATTTTGCACCGATCAAGAAAAATGTCATGAACACAGAGAAAATGTTGTTACGAACAGCATTTGCTTTTATTAGAGTCAACAGTTTGCAATTAGGATGGAAAAAAAAAAGACTGAAGAAAACCTTGAGTGATTTTAAAGTTAGTTAAATATTTGCTATTTGTAGAATTACCAGTATCAAGATATAAGTCTTAAGCAGTTAGGAATTTAAAACTGCTGTATTTTTTCTATCAAACTACGCCATAGTTTAAAGCTTTAGCAATAAATGTCAGTGAAAGTGTAATGAGAGCAATATTCCTTAGCTGGTTTGGTGAAGGTAATGAGTATTTTTCTCTTCATAACTGTTAATTTATATTCTCTCATAAAAATTACAAAAGCAAACCAAGACAAAGAAGAAACGCAGTACAATATTTAATACTCCTGGCCTGTTAAGTGTTGCTTCAAGGAAATGCCTTAAAAGAAGTTCTTATAGTTTTATTCACCATATCTTTATTGGTCCATTTTTCTAAACCACTCAAGACTTCGCAACTGAGCCTCAAATAAAATTTGCAGAGTTAAATTTAGCATTAGAGCTTCGAAGAACCAAGATTTGATTTATAACCAACCGAATGATGAATAACTGAAAGAGCTCAAGCCAAGCCATGAGGCAAACCAGATGATTAACCATCTTCAGAAGTAAACAGGAAAATATGACATAATCTAATATTCATTAGCTCCAGCAGTTTCCTAACTTAGCATGCAATTCATTTGAAGACATTTTTAGTCTTGAAACTGAAAAAGCAGGAAAGATACTCATAACGTGCTTATGGCAAAACTCTGAGGTAGGAAATTGTGCTGCAAAACTTCAACTTGAACAAGCAAAGAGACATTTTTATGCAGATCTGCAAGTATCAGAATATACTGCAGATTAGGGATTGCAAAAAAACAAAAAAAATCTAACTTTAATATTAAATGTAGAATTTTTCATTCTAAAAGCATGCATTTCTATCCCCCAGAGGTATAACACTTTTAGGTAAATATACTATTTATTATGTTAACTTTTTCAGCAAGGATTCAAGGCTAGTCAGTCATATCAGTTTTCTTTACATCTACAAACCGACGTGTTACAGCTAACAGTAAATGAGGGTTACACCTGCTTGACTTGCAATTGCACTTAGTCAAACACACGTTATTGCATGCCCATCTGCATGAAGCCGCAACATCTGGGGACCCTTACATCTCAGCTTTTATTAAAACTTCTGTCTTCAAGTAAAAGCTTGACTGCCTTTAAGCAAAAATGCACTCTGCACCACTTCTCTCCATTTAACACTTTAAAAGGTTTTTAATAACTAGAGATGACCTATAACCGGGGAAAAATGGTCTATCGCTTAAAACTTTAGTTTATCATTTCTATTTTTAGCAGAAAATATATCACTTTATTGAAGGGTTTAATTTAATACAAACAATAAAGGTACATCCTTTACAGTGTGTTTTTTAAGAAAAACAGGTGTTTTAACAATAATTATCTGCCCTACAATAGTTTTAAAAATGAAAAATGTGCATAAAATGTAGACATCGTACACCCAAAAGTGATTCTCTGAAACTATGAATGCAGTCCACACTTACTTTGTATACCAGACATTATATATGGAAATTGCAGCTTAAAACAAGGAAACCCATCTCAAAAATTTCCTCGTACTGCTGCCAGGGTGACATTTATAGCATGTAATTTAGAATAATGATTACCAAGCTGAAATACAGCACCATATTTGTGAACGTTTCAAACTCATAATTCTTTTTTTTTTTTTTTAAAGATGCCAAATATGGCATAAACTACTTCATAAAACCAGGCAAATTAGTGACTAATATTTTTGAAAATAAGAAACACAAAGATAGATCTAAAATGAAGCGCACAACTTAATATGGTTAAAAATTACATTGGCTGATATAAAAGTTACGAAACAATTTTTTTCTAACATAGCGGTGAAGCATTTCAAGGAAAATAGAGGAATAAAGATAAAGGGCATTTAAAAAAAGAAGTTTAATCTGGATGTCGATCTAATTAAATTTGCAAACATAATTGTCAACCATATGTTTAAGGTTACTGCGGGTGATTTTCTACAGTGAGTAAGTTTCAAATTTGCAGGTTTTTCACAGAAAAAGTGTCAAAGCTCTAAATACTTCAAAAGTATTGCGGCATGCTGAGCCAGCTAACATCATTAAGGTTCACTAAGGGTTTCAAATTTACAGTGTAAAAACCTGAAAGTCTTTATGTCCTAGCCTGAGATTTAAAGTGCTTTGATTAAGTTGTCAGAAATGAATGGAAACATCATTGATATGAGAAACAAGGGATCTTCACGCAGTACGTTACCCAACTTTATCATAACACCATCTTCTACTTAGCAGTTGATATCTGACATGCTACTGGTGGAGCTTTAGCTAGCAGCAGTCCACAAGCTGAAGTTAGTGGACAGTATTTGTTACCCTTGTCTATAATGGAATAAGTAGCTCGTTCACTAAAATTTTGCTAATGTAGGCACACTGCGTAAAATAATCACAGAATATTAAATCTGCTGCTGATGGCTACTTGTTAATACAGCGTTTCCTGAAAAATAAAAAAATACTGTCATTCATCAATTCTGCATTATTAAATTTAAACACCAATACGCGTTCCAAATTCTTAATGTACCTATAATTACAAAGCCGTGAATTTTGGGCCCAAGGCTAAATTTACAGAGCCACAAACATCAAATGACAGGCGACATCCAGATTTCTGGGTAATGTGGTAAAGCCACTTAATAGTAACTGAATATGTCTAGCAGTTTAGCATTCTCAATTGTATATTATGCCTCACGATTATGCAGAAAAATAGCAATATTTACATGGTGCTGCATTCCTTGTAGTAGGATCACTTGTATTAAAGGTAAAGTGGAGGATTTCCGCGAATTTTTGAAAAGACCCTCCCACTCCACTTAAAAAAATAAAAATGCACATGCATAACCCTGTACCAGCTCCTGAGAGGGAGCGCCTATTAAACACATGTGAGAGCGATGCAAACAGCAACTTTTAAACAGAGTTCTCACAAGGAGAAATTGGCTCGTGCATGCTCTGTTTAAAAGTTGCTGTTTGCATCGGTCATATAAGCTAGCTTCACAAAAAAAGATTTGCAATTTTTCCACTACTTCCACATGTTTCTAAATGCCTCCAGACCGTACTTAAAGTCGTAGGGAAATGGCTGTTCCAACGGTTGCAGTTCCAAATTCTTCAGAGTGGTGCACAACTTTACACGAGTAAATAAAGTGAATGTGTTTGGTTGATTATCAAGGGGGCGGGATTGTTGTGGCAGAAGGTTCGCAAGCTTTTTGGTTGTGGCCGGTTTCTCGGAAGCATCTTGCTAACCAGTTAGCATCTTAGTGCTAGTAAGTTACCAAAAGGAAATTACATTGGGACCAAGTAGCAATTAGCAACGACACTGTCAAGGAACTCTATGGACAAAGGAAACATGCAAGAGGAGGAGACTTTTGTGTTGGAGGTTGTGAATGAGTCTCCTCCATCATACATTTCTTATTTAGAAGAGGAAAGCGGGTACGAAGATGTTATGGAGGAGGACGCCAGGGCGGTAGAAGCTTTGTTTGGTGTAGAAGGCTTACAGCCGTATATAAGACGTAGGTCATCTATGCACCAAAATAGACCATAAAAGATTAACTGCAAATCCAGTATTCCATACAGCTACTTTTTAATAAAAATCTGCTTTTCGTTTTCAAATACAATTAAAGCCTGTTACACAGCATTTTTTAAATAGCCATTGGATTTCATTGTTTCTTATAGCATAAAACGTGAAGATAATAGCATCCATTTATTTGATAATGGCAAGGAGAAGGTATTATAGAGAACCTAAAGAAGCAAGGAGAGCTGGATTCATGTACCGGTAGTCGTTTCAAAAAGTTGAATATCTCTTTAATCGTGCTAGATTAGAGGTCACGGAGTAGCGGACCGTGGTCCGGATCCAAACCCACCTGCTGGCTAATCCGGACCCAATCTGATTTAAAACATTTAGAAATTACCACATGCTGTCTGATGACAGTGTCTAAACGTCACATGCACTGCTTCTCCTGTTACCCCGAAATCCCACATCCTCCATCACTGCTCCGCCCCGCAGCGCTGCAGAATACCTGCGAAGAGCAATGTCTACTGCCTCCGATGTTCCTCTCGTACTGCTGTGCTCTGATTTATCCTCAGAGCTTGAGGAGAGCCATTACCATTACATTTGTAGGAGCAAAACATGCAAACGCTTTATCTAATATGACATATTAAAAAAAAAAATCCCCATCAGCATCCAGCATATGTGCAGTTTCTGATGGAGATGAGAAATCTGCTTCCTGGTCTGTTGATGTAAAAATAGTTTGCATCCAATCTTTTAAATAAACTGTTAGTTTTTTGAAATATATAAGAATTATGCTCTAATTTGTAGTTAACGATCTGTTGTTACTATATTCTAATTTGACAAACTGGGTCTTCTCGCCATTCTTTTCCTGTTTGGTGCGATTGCAATACCGGATCTTGACCTGGCCGGACAGGAGCACATTTTGAGTATGTTTGGCTCAACCTGCTGCTGTGAAGCAGGATTCTCCACCATGAACATAATCAAACATAAATATGGATCCAGGCTCACAAATGAGCACTTTGATATGTGCTTGAGAATGGCTTCGTCTCCATTGTAAACCCGGGTTTAAAGCCTTGCAGAGCAGCGCAAAGCCCACTGCTCTTTTATTAAGCCAGAAAAAAAAATTAAATACAGTCAGTTCAGGTGTTTTAAAAAATATGTGAATCAGGAAATTATCTATATACCAAACTGAAAAATTGTTATTCTCTACTTCAAAAACACTTAAGATTTTAAAATGGAAAAAATCTCTATTTTTTTTCTTCTATTTTTTTATTTAAAAATTCAATTTATAACACCTAAATTAAATTAAATGCACCTCATTTAATTTCAGTGTTAAATTCTGTTTAAAGTAACAGATCAATAAAAATGTCTCCAGACCATTACTGGTTAATGATTTTCCTTTATTCGGACCCCATTGATTTTTAATTGGTTACCCCTGATCTAGTACTATGAACTAGCAATAGATCAGATCAAAGGGGGGTAGAGATTTGCAACTTGTTGGCTTCCATGTTAATGAAAATGCCATGTAGAAATGGTTACAGCTGCTTTCAACCACATGCCGCTGGAATAAATTAAAGTGGAAAACTTTGGTAAGATGGTAGCCCCTCAGCTTCACAGCTTACAGCAGAGACATCAAAAAAAGGAAGAACAAGAAGAGACACAGAAGAAGCTGTTTGAATCGCACAGGAAACTGGGGGTCGAGTTGCTTCTGACGTTTTTCCGAGAAGTTGTGAGATGAGTCTCGTTAAAAAAAAAAAAAAGAAAGAAAGAAAAAAAAAAAAGAGCATAATTAACCCGGTTACAAAGACACTTTTCATGTTTTCCTACAATTTATTGCAGCTTTAGAAGGCTGACAGGCAGCTGACTACACGTACAGGAGATTAAATGATTCACTACTTGCCTACAGGTTGATGTGTTTTAAATGATCCCGTAGGAACTTGAAGAGTTTGTTAAACATGTTAATATTTAGGATAAGAGGTGACCGTTACCATGGTTAGCTTAGACCTTAAACTGGTGTAAGAAGATCGATCTAAGGCCATTATCAGACTAAATCTGTTTTTAAATAAAATATTTCATATAAACAGAGATATAGGAAAGATAAACAGACTTTAGGAGACAATATTAGCGAAAGTGAGCTTCTAATGTCTAGCTGACTAGCTAACCTAACATTAGCTGCACAGATTAGCTAGCAGGTTAGCTAAAGTTGGCTAAGAGTTGTCATGGACATAAAACAAATAAACAACCCTTAGCTGGTGTAGGTGTGTGTTTGCTAACCTTGTCCATTAGTTTCCAGCATTTCTCCACGGTCTTCTTGTCCACGGCCCCCGGCTGGTGATGGGAGTGAAGGTGGTGATGGTGTGGCTGGAAGGCATCCTTCATCATTCCGATGATCCCCCCACCTTTCTTCAGGTTCCCTGCCATGTTCCGACTCGGGTTTAGGGTCCGAGAGGCGAGGCAGGGGCGGGCAAGGGTCACAAAGACCGAACCACCGCCTGTAGTTAGCTCTACCGGGCGATGGTGAGTCCCTTACCCCCCTGCGAGGACAGCGCCCGAGGGGCGAATCCGAGCCAGGGTGCGACGGGGAGGTTAAACGGAAGGGAGGGAGGGTATTATCCACTGAAAAACCCCATCGTTAGGAATAAAATCAGATTACAGAAGAAATAGGCAGCCTAGGGAGGAAATGTGCACAATCGCCCTCCCCTAAACCCTTGTTGTTGCAGCTAGCAGCCTCTTCTCTCCCTCTCTGCAGGGACCAACGCAGGCTAATTAGCAGAACCGCCTCTGCTCGCCCTCAGCTGGAGGACAATAGTTGCTGTGTCCAGACGCCTTCGGGTCTCAAATGTGTCCCCTCTTCTTGACAAGCCCTGCTGTCGTTCCGCTTTTCTCTCAGCAGCAGCGGCAGCAGCAGCTCTCTTCGCCCGTGCCGCGTCTCTGACGGGAAGTTCAGTGGCGGTGTGACAGTGTCAGCGCTCCCCCGCGAGCGGTGGGGTGACGACATACGCCTCACACCGAGCAGTAAGAGGAAGTCTCACCTCGAGCTGTGATGGCTTCGCGGTTATAAACGGGAACAACAACAAAAAAGACTTAAGAGAATTAAACACTGCCCAGTGTGTTGAGCTTCCCCAAGTGACGTGTATGTGTGCGGCGGCCCTTTCTTTTTCCTGTTCGTCCTCTTCCGTGCAACACCCCCCCTCCCCACCCATCCTTATTTCCATTTTCCACGCCCTCTATGCGCGTCCCCATCAACGCACACAAAACCGGACGCGCGCTTCCGCCTGTGCAGAGCATTCATGAAAAGCTGGAGATGTGTTTAATGCAGCTCTGTATCTTTCAAAACT